GAGAAATTTGGGGGCTCCCCTGTTAATCAATCTCGGATTGAGGCATATTCTTCTTGTATGAATGGATGTAATATGATGGATCTTGGATTCACTGGTGGCCGCTTCACTTGGGTTAACATGCAATTCAATGGTCATATCATTCGTGAATGCTTGGATAGGGTCTGGGGTAACCTTGAGTGGAGAATCTCCTTTCCACAAGCTACTGTTTTTCACCTTCCCAGAGTCCATTCTGATCATAATCCTATACTTTTATATCTTAACCCCTCACGTTTGGCTATTGGGAAACAACCCTTTCGATTGGAGAAATTCTGGATTGACCACCCAGAATTTCAAAGCTTGGGGCAAGGAGTATGGCAATCAAGCAAGCTTTCTACAAGTCAATGTATTTCCAATATGATGAGTAGAGCTGAGTCTTGGAGTAAAGCCACCTTTGGGAACTTGTTCAAGCGAAAAAAGAAAATTCTTGCTCGATTGGAGGGTATTTACAAATACCTATCCCTTCGACACAATGTTTTCCTTTCCTGCCTAGAAAAAGATCTAGCCCTTGAATACGCAGATATCTTGAAATTTGAGGAGGACCTCTGGTTTATGAAGTCTAGAACTAATTGGCTTCTAGAAGGTGACAGAAATACTAGATTCTTTCATGTGTCCACTATTAAACATCGTTCCCACAACAAAATTTTGGGTCTCAAAAACTCGATTGGGGAATGGACTTGGGATTCATATTCCATCAGTACAATATGCAATAATTATTTTCAGCAGTTATTTACTACTTCTATGCCCCACTCTTATTCTGACTCTTATCAGCTTGCCCAGTTAGAATGGGATTCTTCTCAACTGCAATTATCTAGCTTGGCCCATCCTCCCACTATGGATGAGATTTGGAGGGCTCTCAACAGCATGAAACCCTTTAAGGCACCAGGATCGGATGGGGTTCATCCTTTTTTCTATCAGAAACTCTGGGAACATACTAGATCCAAAGTTTGTATTGACATTTTGCAAGCTTTTTCCACTAGTACTGTGCCTCTTGGGTGGAATAACTGCCTTCTTGTGCTGATCCCTAAGGTTGAGAACCCGGAATCTATCACGCAGTTTCGTCCCATTGGTTTATGTAATACTTCATATAAGATCATTTCGAAGCTGCTTGTCAACAGAATCAAGCCTTTACTTGACACCATTATTTCTCCTTGTCAAGCTAGTTTTATTCCAGGCCGGAAGGGTACGGATAATGTTATTATCCTCCAAGAGCTAATTCATTCTTTTAATAAGAAAACTGGATGCACTGGGGACATGATTATCAAAATTGATTTAGAGAAAGCGTATGATCGTCTGGAGTGGAGCTTTATTCATGAAACTCTTACTTTCTTTCAGTTTCCTCCTGCTACCATAAAGCTTATCCTCTCTTGTATTTGCTCTTCTAATATTTCCATGTTAATCAATGGAGAAAGCTCTGAACCTTTTACCCCATCTAGGGGAATACAGCAGGGAGACCCCCTTTCACCTTATATTTTTGTTTTATGTTTGGAATTCCTTTCCTTGAGTATGTCCAAAGCTCTTAATATGGGTAGCTGGAAAGGCTCGAAAGCTGGCAGGAGGGGACCATTACTTTCCCACCTATTTTTCGTTGATGACCTAGTATTCATTGGCAAGGCTACTCGTCAAAATTGCCTTTTTCTAAAAATGATCTTGGGTTTTTTTTGTAACAGGTCTGGCCAAAAGATTAATCCATCCAAATTTGGTATTTTCTTCTCTAGAAATGTGGAGCATAATTCTAGAGAAGAGCTTTGTAGTATCCTAGAGTTTCCTCAAACTGAGAACTTAAGGAAGTATTTGGGCGTCCCTCCTTCTCCTAGGAAGCTTAAGAAGCAAGATTGCAACTTCATATTAGACAAGGTCCGTGCGAAGCTAGATGGTTGGAAGACAAAATTCTTCTCAATGGCTGAAAGGAGAATTTTGGCCTCTTCTGTTCTGGCCTCCATTCCTAACTTTTATATGCAGTCTTTTATGCTATCTTATTCCACTCTTTCTCAATTGGACAAGATCACTCGTGACTTTCTTTGGGGATTCGACCTGCTAAAGAGAAAGATACATATGGTTGCTTGGGATACAGTGACTCTCCCTAAGTCTCTTGGAGGACTTGGAATGAAAAGTGCCAAGGAGGCTAACCTGGTTGCAATGGCCAAGCTTAATTGGAGATTATTCTCAAAAAGAGACAAACTTTGGTGCCAGATAATTGCTTCAAAATATGGAATTGGGACACAGCCCTCCCCCCTCCCTAGGAATGGTTCCCCAATGCTTAATAACATTAGGAAGGGTAGTGAATTATTCCAAAAAGGTATTAAATGGGTGCCTTATAATGGGCGATCTATTTCCTTTTGGAATGATTGCTGGGTTATGGATGCCCCCCTTAGTAACCTATTATCCGGACCTATCTCTTCACAAGACAGGCAGCTCACCGTTGCTGATGCTTTCGTTAACAGAAGGTTTCAACCCAATAACATCTCCTATCCTATTGAAGAGGATTTAGTGAGAATCATCTCAACTACCCCGACTGCCATAACTTCTTCCAACACTGACTCGTTTTGCTGGAAAGGATCATCTGATGGCTCCTTTTCATCTACCTTTGCATATAACCTTGCTAAAGGTCTACACCTCTCACCCAAAGGAGACTGGAAATGGATATGGAAAATCCAAACCCTTCCCAAGATCCAACAGTTCATATGGCTTTTATCTCATGAACGCCTCAAAACCCTTGGGTTCCTTCATGAGTTGGGGATTGTTGAGTCACCCACTTGCCTTTTATGCTTATCTGCAGTGGAATCTTGTTCCCATTTGTTTAGAAATTGTCCATCTGTGCGTGATTTATGGGAATATTTTTTTCCTGGGGATAATAGTTATGAGGAGGATTCACCTTTCTTTTTATGGCTCCAAATGAATTGTTCTAAGACTACCCCTAGTCCTTCAATTCCTGTCCAATGGGGAAC